ATTTAGACAGTGCTCATGAGCACTGCAAGAGTCAAGGGTGTTTTGACATTTCATTTATACACTCTCATTTTCCCAGGGCTGTAAAACTTTCCTTCCTGGCTGAAATGAGGCCCACACAATTTCAAAGAGGAGGTCTGCTCCAGATTTTGGAAAGTTCACAGATAATTTATTTGTGAAGATTTTTAAGAAAATAGTACAAATCAACTTTAAAAATTACATATATTTCTATTCTCCCAGATTCAGTTTCTTACATTCCTTACTGCAGAGTTTTCAGGGAGCTCAGTGTCCGTGGTACAAGTTGTGTGGATGCAATGCAGGACAGCCTGGATAATAATGCAATAAAGAAAATGGGAAACTAAATTAAAATCAGAGTAATTTTATATGGCTTGCCTTTCCAAGGGTGTAGCCTGCAGAGAAAGTGTAGGAGAATTTTAGCTTTTCAGAGGGCTACATTTTTCTTTCTCAGTGGTGGAGAGTGAAATCCAATCCTTCCCTCCACTGCCCTGGCAGTGTGCCTCAAGGACTTCTTTTCGGGGTGACTGAGTAGTCCAGTTCCTATTGCCCATTCAGCCCTCAGCCATTCTGCTCAGACTGTCAATGTGGGTACGAGTATTGAGCATTTGCCTTTTTGAAATAGGCAACCATCCACTAAGAACCGGTCTGAAGATCAGAAATGGAAAACCACAAATAGTGGGTAGGCCGCAAGAGTGGCCCTTTATCTCCATGGGTTGCAGCAGCCCTTGGCCCACTGGGGCTCCACCTGCAGCCTCACAACCCCCTCTCTGCTCCTCTTTCCCCATGCACTTCTCATGCACTGGGGCACAGGAGCTCTGAAGTTTATATTCTTATCCCTCCCTCTCAGCACTTTTGGAGCACAGTGAATCGCCCAATTCATGCTCCATCCCTGCTCCTCCTTCTTCCTCCCAGAGCTTGAATTGCCATGAACAGCTGTTCGCAGCATTCCAGCTCCAGAAGGAAGGGGGAGGAGTAGGGCAGGAGTGCGAATCAGGTGATTTGTGGTGCTCTGAAAGTACTGGGAGAGATGGAGGGAGAGGAACATGAAGTGTGGGGCCCCAGTGCATGAGAACATCATTTAAAACGTTCAGTGCTTCCATTCCCACATTTGTCAAGTGGTGAAAATATGTACCTACCTCACCGAGGGTCTACAGAGCTCAATTTATGATTGTAAAATGCTTTGAGCTCCTCAGATGAGAAGTGCTATGTAAGTGCTAACTATGGCATTACACCCCAGCTTTGCCTCTGTTCTCACAGAAAAGTGCTAATAGAAAGTCACTAGATACCAAGCTTAGGCATCGCATTTCTCATTCCCTTTCACAGCACGGCGAAGCCAATGACACTTAGGTACGACCGCGATGTTCTCATCTTGTAAATGACAGATTCTAGAGGCAGAAGGAATCATTTCATTACTCCTCAAGAAGGCAGCCATGATCTTTTCCTAGCAAAAACACCTATTGGCATTAAATGAAAACTTGTGACTACTCCAAAAATCAGACATAGGAATGATAACACTTAAACCTGTAGAGGAACATTTTAACCTACCTGGTCACTCAATCATGGATTTAAAAGTAGCTATTCTTTCACAAAGGAATTTCACTGCCCAATTAGAGAAAGAGAGAGAGAGAGACAGAGAGAGAGAGAGAGAGAGAGAGAGAGAGAGTGCGCTCGCTGAACTGGAATTTATCTACAAATCTGACACTGTTACCTTGGGCTCGAATAAAGACATTAACTGGTTAATGCACTACAAAGCCAATTTGCCCTCTGCCTTTGACATTCACATTTTCATTTCAAAAGCTAGAAGTCAGATACATCCAGCCCACTTAATTAATTTAAATAACCTGGGTCCTGCAGTTGACTTCTTTTGCTGTTATATATATTCTTAGAATCTGTTATTTCCACTCCAACTCATCTGATATAGTGGGTCTTATCCATGTAAGCTCGTGATCCTATATATTTTTGTTTGTCTCGAAGGCTTCATCTAGACTGCAAGTCTCTTTCAAAAGAGGCTTTTTTGAAAGATACTTTCGAAAAAAGCCTTTTTTGAAAAAGAGCATCTAGACTACAACCAGTACTTTCGAAAAAGCAAGCCGCTTTTTTGAAAGAGAGCACCCAGGCTGTCTGGATGCTCTCTTTAGAAAAAGCACAGTTTGCATTACATAGCACCTTTTTTCAAAAGAACAAAAGGCGTTCTTCCTCCTAAAACAAGGTTTTCCATGGTCAAAAACACTGCCGCATTTACTTTCGAAAGAACACGGCAGCAGTCTAGATGCAGGGGAAGTTTTTTTGAAAAAAAGCCATTTTTTCTAAAAAAAACCTGTACTCTAGACACACCCAAAAGCTACGTCTAGACTGCAAGCCTCCTTCGAAAGAGGCTTTTTCGAAAGATACTTTCAAAAAAGCTTCTTTCGAAAAAGAGCATCTAGACTGCAATCTCTTCTTTTGAAAAAGTGAGCCGCTTTTTTGAAAGAGAGCATCCAGGCAGTCTGGATGCTCTCTTTCGAAAAAGCCCTGTTTGCATTCAAGAACGCCTTTTTTTGAAAGAGCACTTTTGAAAAAAGGCGTTCTTCCTCGTGAAATGAGGAGTACCACCGTCGAAAGAAAAGCTGCGTTCTTTTGATTTAATTTCGAAAGAACGCTGCTGTAGTCTAGACGCCGGTTAAGTTTTTTCGAAAAAAAGGCTACTTTTTTTGAAAAAACCCTGCAGTCTAGACACAGCCTAAGATACCACAGGCCACTCGTTTCCATAAGTTAACCAAATTATCCTCCAAGGTTAATTCTTGCTTGCTTCATTTTTAGCAGAATGGTACAAACAGCAGCACTGGTTTATAGCCAGTGGACTCTAAAGGGTTAAAGACAGGCTTGCACAAACTTTGCTTTCAGTATAGCTTGCAGCCTCTTTGCTCTTGGTCTCTCCTCCCTCTCTCGGTACTGAGGAGACGCAGCAGCAGAGCTGGAGAGCTACATTTCTGTCTAAAAATCTAACTGCCTACAGCAGTTGAAGAAGGGAACTGCTAGTTAAGGCTATTTTCATTCAAGTGTTCAGGCACATGAATCGAAGATTCCCCGCACCCTCCCTTGCTGAATGAAGGAAGGAGATCGGGATTTAGGCTGTTAAATCAATCTGTCAGCTGGCAGCTCAAGAGCTGGAGTAAGTCACCTCTGCCTGACTTAGGCAGCGAAACATTTACTTCAAGAGCAAAGAAGGAGAAAGTGCACTTTGCATGCTTGTTCAAAAGAAGGTATTTTAGCTCAGCAGTAAGACAGCAACTATTTCTTCCAGAGACCCAGCTAGGAGGGGGAGATGTTCCTAGACAAACTCTCAGCAAATCCAAGGTCTGCTCCAGATGCTTGAATGCTAGGAAAGGTAATTATGCTTTTTTAATTCTTTTTCTACATGACACAACTCTGATGCTTTGACACATTAGTTTACACTCTGGCTTCAAAACAAAAATATATCATTTGCCAGTGAAAGAAGAGACCTCTCCTCCCCCCAAATTCCCACTAGGGAAAATGCAAGAAATTAATGCAAGTGGTGGTTCAATGACTGAGCTTATTCAACATTTATTTGTAATGCATAACTTATAACGCACTCTGTGCGCTATACCAGGCATAAGCGCTGGAACAATTTGTGTAGCAGGGGTGCTGGGAGTCATTGACCCAAACTGTAAACCCTAGATATGATGGAAACCCTTTCAAACTGGGAGTGCTGCTGTACCCCTACCACTCCTAGTTCCAGCACCTATGATACCAGGGTCATTCTGCTTCTGCCAACCAGGCAACACATATGGAACTACAAGCTAGGAAAGCCCACGTTAGTGGTTTCAGATTGTGGCTCTTAATGTTATAACTATCCTGTTCAATCCTGTTCCCATCTCTCTGTGGTGGTTTTAGTACTGGCCAAAGCAGCTACCAACAGCTGTCCTCGGTTTCAGAGATCCTTTGCAAACGATTAAAACTTATACTGAGAGAGGAAAGTAAAAGAAGCATCTAAGACAGGAACATTTACTGAAGAGCATTTCCTTCAGCATTTCCTGTTTTTATCCTAGCTATACTGTCTGTGTTGCAGGGTTTGAAAAATCATTATTTCTCTTCTTTTGCTACATAAGCAAGGGATGGGGTGAGAGAGGACTGGGTCATTAAAAACAGATACTCCTGAGCCTGCTCAGACCCCTCAGCTCCTATTGGCTTCATCCAGAGGTGAATGAGTTCAGCACCTGGTCCTGCTATCTGTCTGTTATGTGTTGTGAGGGAAAGTGGTCTGAGGTAATTATATTTTAAGCCTCTATTTCCATTATTTTTATGAAGCTATGTAGCTTGCTTCATTTAAATAATTTCTCAAAGTTATTACAAAACTGTTATGACAACTCTCTGTTTGGACTCAGCGGGCCTCCTATATTATCATCAATGGGAGCATTACCACCCACCATATTTCCCAAGTAAGTCAGATCCTGTTCTGAATAAACAAATATTGATCAGCAATTTAGATCTTAGGGAATTTGGTTTATATTTTGGATGCACCGCATTTTAAGAAAGGTCTGTTGGTCTGACGATTAATTTGGAGGCTCCCAAAGCAGGGGTAGGAAGGTCTTTGCCTACTTAGTTCTGAATCCGACAGTTCAGATCTTAACAGCTTTGGAAATTGGATTTGTGCAACACCTTTGTATATTAGATTTGCTTACCTGCTGTTAAACATGCCCACCTTCCATGGCGAGCTAGTAGGATGAATCTGCTCTAGAAAATAGCTTGAAATTCTCTTCCTGAGTTTTTTCTGCCAACAACAGTTTTTTGTAAAACTAAAGCGTGTGTCCAAGGAGATTTGCACAATGAAATGACTAGCAGGTATTTCCAACAATTTTTATATTTAACAGTAAAATTCTCTTTTGCTGACCATGGTAACTGAATACTTTCTGGAAAAGATATAGGTAATTTCCCTACTTTCAACAGTCCAGTTGAAACTGAAGTGTCCTGATGTTACCTGCAATTCTATATTAATCAGACTAAAAATAATACAAATCCATGCTAAATCTCCACTATTAATCTTTTACTTGTATTAATTCAAACTCTGAGCTTGGAATTAACTGTTGCACTTGAACTCCTAATGTGCTTAGCATTATGCAGTCTAATTTTCAGAAGTATGTAAAGCCATTAAGCCACTTTGGTCTTTAGGGAGACTTCAGTTTTCTCTACCAGCTAACAACACAGCTGCAGAAATGGGTAAGGACAGTGCTCTGCACTTTACTCATAGCATGCGCCAGACTACATATTGATTGCACTTTGGCAGTGACTGAGAAATCATATAGCATCAACATAGGTGTAATTAAACAAACAAGCTCCCTCTATACCTTGTATTTCCTATTAGCTACACAGAGCAAGTCTGCTCTTCATGGAGAAAATTCATGCTTTATTCATGGAAAGTGTGGAAATAATGAGTGAAAAAAATTACTGCCCCCACCCACTTGGAACCGAACTCCACAGCCTCATTCTTCAAGTCCTCTGCCACAGCTTGTGGGTTAAAATTGCAATGGCCATCCCCACTATTACCACACCAACGTCATTTAGCATATGGTGTCAGCATCTTTTGGGAACACTGATCTCTTGGCCCTGTCCCTGCTCGCCATGTTGGCCCCTGTGGGGACAGCACTGAGCCTCTGTGGAACATAAGGGAGTGCAGTATTGTGGGACCTTGGGCAAATTGGAGTGGGAAGGGGATCAGCTCCAGGTTCCCAGAAGAAGCAGGATTTCAGATGGAAGAGGCAGCGTTAGTGGCCCCAGTAGTGACTTATTGCCAGGCCCCAGGTCAACTGCCTCCTTCCCCCTGCCCGTTAGCATCCCTGAGGGAGTAGTTCTAGCATGGAGCTCTCACATAGTGCAATCTGCTCTTGCGAGCAATCTCCACCAATGTGAACTTCACCCTAAGTACGTAGCCATAGTGGATATGGATTTATTTGTATTATCACCTCTCAGATTTCTCCTTTCATAGTAAGGATAAGTAGACACGCCTCAGACTAAGAATGGAAAAGTACTGAGTATTTTATAATGTGTGAGCTGTGTTACTAATGACTTTGTTCTAGAGAAAGACAGCCATTTTATATCGATGTATTTGAGATGGTCAAAATCATTAGAAGTGTAAGTCACACAAGCCTTTATGTACCCTATTATACATATAAAGGCTTATGAGGCCCACATTTCCAAAGTCACCCATGATTTTGGCTGCCTCAAATTTTGGGTGCTCAATTTGAGACAACATAAAGCAGTCTGACGTTTAGAAAGCACTAAGCACCACCCCCTGGCAGCCCTAGCCCCTTTAAGACATCAGTTTGGGTTCTGCAACCCCACACAGAATATCACTAGCAATTTTTGAAAATCTAGGCCTTGGTATTTACATTCTGGTTTTCCAACAGTGTTGAAGTATTAAAAAAAACCCATAAAATGATTCCTCTCTGGTGCAACTGCACTAATTCCAGTGGAATTGCATCAGTAGTGGCTTTGCCCAAGACTGCTTGGACAGGTTAATAAAAATGGAAGAAATTTGGAAAGAAGAAGAAAAAAAGGTGGGAATCCACCAAAATAGCACAACAATTCCTGTTTTCAAAAGTGGATTTCAAAAATTGGAAGTGAAGGTTGTCATTGCACAGGTGTAGACTATACAGAAGGCATTACTCAGGATTCCACTGGTGTGGCACATCTGGCCCACGGACTGCCCTTAATTCAGTTAAAATAGTATGTGCCAATGCCACATAAAACCAGATTCAAATGCAGGGATCACAATGTGCAGAATTCCAAGAGATTTGTTTGTTTAAGAGGGAAGTCTGGAGAGACCAGTGGAAGATGGTTCCTATACTGCTTTCAAAGGGGAGTTTCAAGAACACCAAAGGGGTTTAGGTGCACAAGTTAACTGACTTTTAAAGAGACTTTGTCTCTTAAATCTTTGAGGTCCTTTGTGAAAATTTCACCTTTCATTCCTAGTGCCACTCCTCATACACCAGTCCCATGGGAATACAACTTGCTGGGGATGTTGCATGCTTAGTCCCCAGGGAGTAGCACTATTCAGCAAGAACCACAACTACCCTGTCCCTACCCTTAACCAGGTCCACCGTGAAGTAACATTCAATAGACAAAGAAAAATTGTGCGGCACAAATATTAAAGTTAATACTGACCTGTAACAGTCTGCCCATTACAAATACCATCAAATTCCCAAATGGCTTTATTCCACTTTTTCTCCCCTCACCTCCCATCCTGGGGCACATTGGGGGCTGGTTTGGGGCCTTCAAATTCCCAAATGGCTTTATTCCACTTTTTCACCCCTCACCTCCCATCCTGGGGCACGTTGGGGGATGGTTTGGGGCCCGTTCAGTCCCTGGCAGAACTTATAACAGCATGCTATAACCATGCCCCCTCCTGCCTCCACACCCCAGAGGATTACTCCAGGGCAGAGGTGGGGAACCTTTTTTGGGGTCTGGAGCCAATGACCCACAGAAAAATCAGTCAGGGGCCACACACAAGTGAAAAGCAAAAGAACAAAACCCACTTCCCACATTCCCCTTGCACACCAGAGTCTAGGGGGAGTCAGGCTTGTAGATTTTGTGTACTCCAGCCCTGTGGTGGGGCAGTGAGGGGGATGGAGCGCCAGTATGGGCTCTCCAATGCTGAGGGAGAGCTTTAGTCTTGAGGGCCGGATCCAGGTAAGCCAGGGGCTGCATCCGGCTCCCAGGCCTGAAGTTCCCCACTCCTGCTCTAGGGGGATTCCTAGCTAACTGTTTAAACCTGCAGAACAGCCCAGTTTGACCATTCTGTCATCCGGCAGAATATGGCCCACTGCTCCAAGATTGTCAGTGTTCTTGCGGAAATACTATGCTGCTCCCGTTCAGGCAAAAGTCCTTCTGTGTGAAACTTTTGCGCAAAAGGGCCAGTGTAGACAGCTCAGATTTGTTTTCTGCAAAAAAGCCCCGATCGCAAAAATGGCGATTTGGGCTTCTTTTGTGGAAAAGTGCGGCTAGATTGGCACGGACGCTTTTCTGCAAAAAGTGCTTTTGCGGAAATGCGTCCTGCCAATCTAGACGCTCTGTTCTGAAAATGCTTTTAACAGAAAACTTTTCTGTTAAAAGCATTTCCGGAAAATCATGCCAGTCTAGACACAGCCTATCTGTTTTAAACCATTTGAAACCAATGGGAATCCTAGCAAACGCTGTGGTGATGTGGAGACAGTGTGTTCAGCCCTTCACTAACTCCCAAGCCAGTTAAGTGGGAATACTGAGGACCCAAGGAGAATCAGAGCCAATTTTCCCTCCAGAGGAGAATGAGACACAGACTTGTAGGTAGAACTGGTAAAAAGACAGAACTGTTTCCCTCTGAAAATGCCTTTAGGTCAAAATTAAGGCATTTCACTTTGCTTTGTTTCAATAATGTTGAAATATTTTCTTTTAACTTTATTTCATCTAGACTTTTACATTTTAATATTTAATGTGTTCAGATTAGATATTTTACCTTATTATGTTTCAGCATTAATAAAATGTTGTTACCTCATTAAAACAAAACATTCTGATGTTTCCTAACCAATTGTTTTGGAATTTCTGTTATATCAGACATTTTTCACTGTTACAATTTGGAACGAGTTCAGTTTCTGAAATGTCAGAATTTCCCACAGGATGGAAATCTCTTTTCTGCCCAGCTTTGTTTGTGGGAGGGAAAGGAATACCTGCATACAGGATCCAGTTGACATGGGTAAAGCCCTGTGTAGATACAAAATTTGTATCCAGATCCCTATCTGCAGACATGGATATAAAGTGGATAGCCTCAAATTTCAGGGTTTAATGAATGGAAATTGCCTATCTCCTAGAACTGGAAGGGATCTTGAAAGGTCATTGAGTCCAGTCCCCTGCCTTCAGCGTAGGACCAAGTACCATTTTTGCCCCAAATGGCTTCAGCAAGGATTGAACTCACAACACTGGGTATTTAGCAGGCCACTGCTCAAACCACTGAGCTATTCAATTTTATAACCATAAGGCCCCTGCTCAAACCACTGAGCTATCCAAATTTATAACCATAACCGCATCTGCAAAAATGAGCCACAGATAGCCACATCGTCATCCCTAGATATCTGCAGGTTTGCAGAGCTCTCTGTACATGGGCAGTGCTTCAGCAGTCTTCTTCACAATGCACATTGGACTCCCTCTGCCAGTAGCATCTGAGTTCTCAAGTTACAGCTGAGATGAGACATGCAGAGCTTCATGTGTGGGAAGGCTGTGGGGTTTGTATCTTTTCCCCCATTGGTTTTAGTGGCCAACATCTGTATAATCAGCGGGTATTTCCCTAACCCAAAGCACAGAATACTAGAATAGGAAACAACAGTGAATTATGCAGGGTAACTCTATGCTTCCTGTAAAGATATAAAGAACTTTTGTAAATATGTAATGCTCTTCCAGATTGCCAAATGACTCAAAGACCATATTAGTGAATTCAGTTAATACCACTACAAATACAATGCTCTAATAGTGATTGGATCAGATATTAGTTTCATATTATCCTTCATCTCTGTCAGGCTGGGTTTGATGAGAGTACAGTATAAGCTGGGTTTGCTAATGCTTTTGTTCTCTTTCTGTTTTAGAAAGGCTGAGTTTTTTACTGACCAGAATGACAGATTCAGTTCATTGTGGAAAATGGAAAAGAGCCCATTTGTTCTAACTCTTTAATCTTTAATCGCTGACACTCATCATTTTGGAGAGTGGAGATCATCAACCATATTAGCAAGAGATAAAACAAGCTTGCCAGATCACCTAGGAATAAATCACCCACAATGTACTAAGCTGGCAGAAAGTTCACTTGCGTTGTTCAGAAAGGAAAGCCTGCGTAGAGCTAAGCCTGATAGCTACTCAGATCTATCAGTTCTAGAAGAGGACTAAAGCATTTTCACCTGAAGAGAGCTGAGCAAATTAAAACTCTGAGACAGCATAAGGAGGTATAAATAAAAAACAATCTCTAACAGGGGCATGTGAGAAATGACTTCCAAAGGTTCCTATAAAACAATTTGCTTAACTCAAGTGGAGCGAAGATCTCACAACCAACACAGTTGTGCTTTCTCTACAGAACTCCCATTAGAATTCATCCCACTTGCAGCTGTGAATCCCCTTTCTGGATTTTCTTCATTAAATGGGTGAAGTGATGCAACATTTTAACAGAGAATAGAGAAAATGGACAAAACCTGAGAGTGCGCAATGACTGATAACTTTAAATACCGTGGGAATCTTACAGGCCGTCTCTACTTTCCAACCCAGGCTCCAGAAGACGACACAGCGGCAGATAAATATGCCAATCTGTATCTGTATGTTGGATTGTTTGTGACTCTCCTGGCAATCATTCTTGTACTAATCTTCACTATGCTCTTTCGCCTGAAGCACGTTATTGCCCCAATGACCACCCCAACAGAAAGCACACAGACTGTACAGGAGTTTACAAATGTTGAAATGATAGGCAGGATTCCTAGCACTCGGTGAGACAGAAGCAAGAGATGTGTGGATCAGGAAACACCTTTTGTTTGGCAAAATATGCATGTCCTTTGTGGGGAGGGGGCTCCACCTGCTCCCTCTGCTCTACACTGTACTGTGTATGGATCAAACATATTCAGCATCTAAGGCAATATCATTTGACTGACTTGTGAATTAACAGTCGTAAGATATACGATAGACTTAGGCCCCTGAAGACTGCAAGCAAGATGTGCTTAGAGATTTGGTTTCTATGTGACAATGGAGCACATGTCCTAAATAAAATCTATACTGCAGAAGCTTAACTGCTCTCAGGGGAAACTCAGCTCCTCCTGAAAAGACTTCATGCAAACAATAAAAGCTACTATAATGGCAGCCAAAAAAACTTACAAGAATGTTTTCTGAAAGATGTATTTGCTGAGTTATCTTCCCTTCTATTATTGGAGCAAATTCCGTGCCTGATAAGAGACTTGACTCAAAGTTAATTTGTGGCACAGGCTTGAAGAGCCCACAGGGCGCACACAAAAAATGAACAGTGGTGTGAAAATCCCTAGACATCCATCGCATTCAAGAAGGAAAATCTTAAATGGTGTCTTTTCCACTTGGAATAGCACATTTGCAAAATGCAATTTTGCAAATATACAAGTGTTCCTGTTAAAAGGCCAATATGCGTCATATGTTAGGGCTGTTACTTTCAGACATTAAGAATCGAACAGTGAATAGTGCATTCCAATTATCAGAAAGAAGTAGTGCATTCAGAATGAAGGAAAATAAAAGATAAAGGTGCGTGTATGAAACAAGCAGCATGAGTCATATTCAGCAGATACACTGCCTCTGACCCTGCCTTTCCTTTGCAGGAATTGCGTTCCCGACAACTAGGTTCATTTCTTTCAGCTTTTCTAGTATCACTCAATTAAAGTACCAGTTAATGTTAGCAAATTAAGTGGACATTGTCAACAGTGATAGGTCCAAATTCAGAACAACTTTTTCTGTCATCTCCATGTAGGTTTTTTCCTCAGAAACACACCAAAATTTTCAATACTTTTCTCCCAAGGATAAGGGCTAAAGAAGAAGGGGAAGGGAAAAGAATGCCAGGACCCACACTGCAATAATAAATCAGCATGCACAGCTCTGTACTCTGAAATGATCCTGAATGACCAACTAGTGTGCACACAAAATGAAAGGAGCACTGAAATTGGAGAGCAAGATTCCAACTGAACAACTGGAACAGTGAGGGAAAAAAATCTAAAAATATGAAACAATATGCTGGGAATGTCCTTTTAATGTCTCTCTATGTAAACATACAGTACCATATGTAAAAAAATGATTTTCTTCACGTGAATCAGAAAGATGACAACCAAATACAGCATATCACTTCTGTTGGTCCACTATCTCTTGTAACAAGACTTTAGGGGTGGAATAATTTTAAACTCGTATGTACTGTGCAGGTGCTTCCCCATGGATTTTAACTAGCACAGCCTTAACCTCTTTTGCTCCTGTCTAAATCTAGCCTAGTAATAAAGCTCCCTGATGCTTTCCACTTTATATACAATCATTTGCCAACTCTTTTCCCTCCAAGGGCCTGGAAAGTGCAAACTCCACACACACAAGCAGCTAAAATTAGCAATGATCCTGACTCCACAAACCTTAACAAGAACTAGTTCTTCCAATGATTCAGGTATTGTATTTTCTTTCCCTTATGGGGCTGTTGTTCAGTGGGTTGTTTTTTATTAAGGAGTCTAGCTTCTTTATCTATGGGGAAGAACAAGAGGCTAAAACTACACTGGTCATGACCTGTCCACAGGAAGGATTAACATTATTGTCGCCGCTATTGTAACTGGATGATTGTTTAAAGACTCTCCATATAAAATAGCACCTTTTGTACTCAACATACTACAGAAGATGCAGGCTCAACATGGAAAACAGTTAGTATAGTAACTATGTAAGTAAATATAACATTCAGTATACTCTCAGCAATATCTCCTCCACAGCCTTGGACGTTAGAATGTACTTGCCTGGAAGAGAAATGTAGACCAGGTCACAGATTATCCTGTGCTCTGTACTATGAGATCATCACTAGATCATCTACTAGACAAGATCTTGACTTAACAGCACCTCTGAAGGATGGGACTTGCCCTGTTGTCGTGCTGCTGCATCCACACTGGACAGGCATCCTGACTGTACTTGTAGGATTTAAACCTCAGATTGCTACTAGCTGAGCCAGGCTGTCATGTATGTTTAACAATGTAAAAATAGGCTTACTCGATACAGTTTTATTCAGCAGCAAGAGCACAGAATACCGATTAAAATATGTATTTACCCAGTGCAATTGTAAGTCTACTGCCATCTTTTCTCTGACCTTTTTAAAAGTGTACAAGAGAAGTTGGATTCTTACCACTCCTCTACCCAATTAATAGCCTCTGAGACAATCACAACCACCCATAGGAGGAAAAGTTTTACTGCCTAGAAACAGATGGAGCTGTAGATATGTCTATTTAATGAAGATATTTTTGTACAAATTACAATAACAAATTGATTTGGGGCCCAATACGGATAGCAATTAATTTAGTAGCAGATTGGGGTCCTTCATTTTTCTGTTAAAGTATTTTAATTCAAAAAAGTACTCTTTCAAACATGGATTTAAAAATGTTATTGTAAATGAAAAGTTGAACCATTTATATTTAATCATATATTATATTTGGGCAGATAATATATTTCTATACAGTACTGCCAGGAAAGGCAGACAGAGCTGTCAACATATAGTACTTTTCCCTTCCAAAGTTTTTTGACTCCCTTATAGGCTATGCCTACACTGCAGCTTATTTCTGGGATAAAAATTATTCTGCGTCCAAGGAACACATCCGCTTTTCTGAAAAATATTTCAAAAAAGCGGACGCTTTCTTTCGCCATCCCTGTAAACCACGTTGTACGAGGAAGAAGGGATGTTCCAAAAGAGGAGGTTTTTCTGAAATCTGGCTCCATGGTGCCAAATTTTGGAAAAGCCTCTTCCAATAGAAAAGCAGAGAAAGATACACAAATTGTGGTTCGTGATTTGAGTACTTTTTCCAACTTTTCTTTGTAGTGTAGACACAGCCTCAGATAGCAAGTAGCTACTCAGCACAATATGCCCTATACCCTTGAATGCTCCGTCAATAGGCTATTTCCATAAAATCTAGATATATATTTTTGTTAGAACATATTCATACTGTATGTACTGCTTTGTCTTTTTCAAGGTTAAGAAATGTTAAAGCCTACATTTCTCAAAGAAACAAATAAAATATGTGTTCTCCATTTGTTGACTTATTCCTATTTGTAATTTTCAAGAGCACAGACCTTCTGGGAGAAAAATGCTAATTGGAATTTGCCTTTGTGGTCTATTGGAGTTGGCAGGATTCAGTAGGCTTTGGTATTATTTTGGTTATGTTGAACAACAACTGCAATTTAAGCACTGAGTTGCTGAACCTGTAATGCTGGGATCTCATTTCACTACCTTTTCCCTCTACAAGTTTTATTTGTTTGCTTGCCACTTGTCCATCTGCCAAAAAATTATTTTTATAAAACCCAAGAGAAATACTGTAAATCAATTCTGGATTATCTAGCTGCTTTACATTATTACCATAACGGGCACAGGGCTAGCCACTGAGAGTGGAGCCCATGTGGAGGAATAACACATTCCTTTGGTGGTCACTGATTTCATCTGAATCACTAGAACAGCTGGTGTAAGGTACTACTAGAGGGGATGAATTGCAAGCGTGAGAATAAGGGATCACAAGGACTACCCATATTCTGTGTGGTCTACCTGCTTTGGAAGTGATCTGCAGAGGCTCTGGCAATCTAGAGCGAAGGATCAGGCTTTACTGACTGAATCCTACTTTAGTTCTGGCTTTACTTCTGGCAGAGGGCAACTATGCATTGCTCCTTCCTTAGGCTGGATTTAAGGTTACAGTCCAGCCTTGTTGGAATCGGATAACCTTACCCAAGCCCACAATAATCAGGAACAGAAGCCATCACAATTGTCCTTAATAGTTCCCCAAAGTTCTTGCATCACATTTAACCTAAAGCAGGGCTATTCAACACCTCTTTGTTTGCGGCCCGCGGTGACGTTTGGGTTTATGCAGGGTTCAACACACAGCCCGTGGGTGGGATCCTTTGAACATGGCCTCCATTGGGAACATGTTCCACGATAGCAACGTGTCTCCCAGGTGGGGTGAGCACTGAAAGATGCAAGCAGATGGATTGGCTGGAACAGACGGGTACAGGGTGTTGGCATTTCTAGCCCCAAAGGAGGAGGTGCCACGAGCACATTGTGGGAAGTGCTTTGTATTCATGCCTGTCAGTGTGAAAAATGCTATTTGCATTTATAGTTGCATTTATATGCAACCACACTTAAGTTGCAGCCCTTAGCATGTGCTGTGAGTATCAACTCCAAAGTTGAGTAGCCCTGGTCTAAAGGTTGCCAGAAGTCCTCCCCTTGGCTTCCCTTTCTCCTCCTCTGCTCCTCCCCTAAACTGGACATAATCTGACATGTAACTTTTGTGTGGGATTTATTCTTCTCTTTCTATCTGCATAGCTCGCATCAACATTACTGATTGCACTGCATTAATAAATCTGTTCCAACCTATTCCTTTAGTGAGGACTAGGTTGGAACAGGTTTACAGTATGCTTTTAAATAAGCAGACATCTTCCCATCATCACAGAGCTCCAGAGGTGGATTTTACTATTGTCAAGCAGCATTCATTCATGTAACAAACATTATGCTTAGACCAGTGCTCCTTTACAGGCTTCAAGGCATTGAGCATAAAATTTAAACTCCATAAGGCACTTTGTGACCTTCATCACGCTCAGCATGCAGCAGACAATAAAATGTCCAAAAGGAATACCAGAAGTTTACAGATACTAAGGTTCACCCTGGTTCTTTAAAAAAAATGCCATTGGCCTAGGCTTCAGAATGAACTAGCAAAGAGTAGAATGAAAAGTTAACTCCTAGATTACTAGGTTCTCCTACCTTCTCCCTGGATTGCTTTATATGCAGACTTCCCTTAGTCCTTTCACAACAGAGAATGATTAAGCCCATCTTCCAAGGCAGTTAATATTCTTCATGAACAATACTGCTAAGCTTGATATTGGTGGAGTGATTTTTAATCAAAGGCATTCTGGGATCTTTAAGATCTAGGCAAGAGGAACACATACAGCTATAGGTTATATTTAGCTAATAGTGGAGGTGAGTCAATGACAATCCAGAAAGTGTCTGTCCAATTCAAATACAATGTATAAATAATGCCTGTGTGGACATCCATGTGAATTTAGCTTTTATGCAAATTCACCAACTGGAGAGGGAAAAAAAAGGATTAATCACTGATACAAGGACCTTTCCCTCCCTTCTTCCTCCCATAGATTTCTGAAACTATTTTCTAAGTAAAATTCACTCATGTCAATAATCATAAACTTCCTAAGAGACTCCTGTTGACTTAATACTGTCTTCTAGATCAAAGTATCATAGGTCTTAAGTCTCTTCTAGACAAGAAGTCAGTTAAGATATTATATATTCATGGTACAACAGACTTCCGATAATCTGGCACCCTTCGGACTCAGGGGGTGCTGGATTATCGGATATGCCAGAGTATCAGGAGGTATTGCAGCAGGGGGGTTGTGACGGGTCTGGGGGAGAGGGTCGGGCATGTAACAGTGCAGCATGGGGTGAACCGGGTACTGGTGAGGGGTGGCGCTGCAGGACCAACCTGGCAGCACCCCAGCTGCTCTGCCCCAGGCTTCCCTAAGTCCGCAGCT